AAGTAGCGGTTTACCTCTGCGTTTCGCTTGGTGAGTGCAGGTGGCCGGAGGCCCTTTTTACTGGAAATGAGGCATTCCATCTTAGTCCTCACGGGTGACAACGCATCTACATTTGGATTTGCAATAGAGGATAGATGTAGATGTCTGTGGGCCGCAGCAACCACTTACCATCAGGTGGACTGTGTGCTCGTTTGTCACCCTTCTCCTATAAAAAAAAGTCAATACAAACAAAATTGTATCTATTTATGATAGTTTCAGCTCGCAAATGATTGGTTTGTTTTTGTTACTGTAACTTGTTACTTCATTGTAAAAGCTCACAAAATACTCGAAGAAGTCGATTGATGTTCTAAATATAACTAAAATCATTTCTATTTGCGGCGCTAGTCTGCGTGTTGTACCACTTTAAAACCCCTTTTTGAGAATGATGAATGGAAAAATGTTTGTTAATCATTATGTTTTAATTCTATAATTGTCACCTTGCTACTTTTTGCAAAGTAACTATTAAGTTACCAAACATGTTATTTCAGGTCTCAGATATCCAAGTTAACGTAACACCATCAAAATCTCCGTCACCTTCTATGTCATCTAAATCTGCTAAGCGAGCGATACAGTTAGATCCGGACATAATGGAAACTCCCAGAAAACGAAAAATGCAACGTATTATAAACGAAAAGGAAAATGTTATAAAAACTCAACGATCGAAAATAAAAAGTTTACGAGGTAAAAACCGGAGATATAGAAAAAAAATTATAGAGTTGCAAGAAATAATAAAGGAATTACAATCAAATAGATTAATTAATAGCGACCAATCCTTTTTTTAGAAAACACCAACGTTAACACAAAAGAGTTATTTAAAAGATGTGAGAAGAAATTAAAATCTAAATTAACACGTGAAAAATACTCACCGAGCCTTTGGATTTTTGCGATGATGCTACATTTTTATTAGCCGAAGGCATATCTTTATGTAAGGCTCAATTTTGAGACCTGCTTTCCTCATCCCAGAACCATTAAAAATGGTATCAATCTTTTGACGCAGAACCTGGTTTTACCACAGAGTCCCTTGATGCTATAAAATCTAAAGTTCAATCTACACAATATCCAATATTATGTAATTTGGTGTTGGATGAGATGGCGATTCGTCAACGCATCGAATCATCGTGGGGATAATTTGTGTGAAGCTAAAGAGGCTTTAGTATTCCTTGTTACTGCAATTAATGGGGCATGGAAAATACCTGTCGGATACTTTTTGACAGACGGTGTAACAGGTGAGCAAAAGTCAAACCCAGTGAAACAGTGTCTTGAACTTTTAAGCACAACTGGCGTTGAAGTTGTTTCTCTGACGTTTGACGGTTGTCCTGCTAATCTTACAATGGCAAAAATTCTCGGATGCTCTTTTGACATCAATAATATTATAAAGACTTGTTTTAGCCATCCCGTTTCACAAAAACAAGTTTACGTTTTGTTGGATGCTTGCCACATGCTAAAACTAGTAAGAAATGCATTCGAATCAAGCGCAACATTAAAAGACAATTTTGGTAGATTAATAAAGTGGTCGTACCTGGTCCATCTTAACCATCTACAGGAAAAAGAACATTTGCATCTTGCAAATAAGTTAAGACGTCGCCATATTTATTTCTACAACCAAAAAATGAAAGTTAAGCTGGCGACACAACTGATGATCAGTAGTGTGGCTAGAGTTTTAATTTTTTGTTCCAAAACTAACCAACCGGGGTTCACCGATGTTCAAGGCAAAGTAGATTTTTGCAAAATTTTAATGACTTGTTTGATATTTTAAATTCACGAAATATTAATCAATTACACTATAAGAAACTCATAAACTTCAAAAACAAAGATAAGGTGTTCATTTTTTTAAACAAAATGGAAGCATATATAAGAAACCTAAAAATGTGTAACGAAACGGAAATAATTAAATCACCTAAAAACCGGGTTTTTACTTTTTAGGTCTTTTGGTATGCATCAATAGTATCAAAAATTTATACCTAAGGCTTGTCGAAGAAGAAAAAAATTGAAATATTTTCCCACCTATAAGTTGTCTCAAGATCATCTGGAGTTGTTATTCGGTAATATAAGAGCTCATGGTGGGTGTAACAACAACCCGACAGCGCGATATTTCATGGCTATTTATAAAAAAAACTAATAGTCAAACTAGAATTGAATAATTTTGAAAGTGGTAATTGCATGGCACTTGAAAATATTTCAATTTTGACTTGTTCTTCATCAGTGGAAAAAATTAATAAATCTACTTTATCACCAGTGATTGAAGAAGGAATGGAAAATGAAGAATATATTAAAGAATTTAATGAAGTTTTGAAAACTGAAAATATCATGACTGAATTTAGTTTGGAAGTAGTAAGCTACATAGCAGGAAATGTGGTACATTTTTTACTAACAAAATTAAATGCGATACTTGCATTTCGGCTCTTGAATTCCAGTGCTATTAAAGACAATTTTAATTGATACGGTTGAAAGACAACGATGGTCTTATTTTTCCTAGCGCTGACGTAATTTTGATTTGTAAAAAAAAATTGAATCAATTCTTAAAACTTTTACTGTAGATGCTCAATTAGTCAAAAATTTTGAAAAGTTTAAAGAGCAGATAACATCCAGAGCCTTACGCCATTTCATTGGCATTGAAGTATTCAGAGAAATCGATTTTCATCAATTTGATCAGGGACCAATGGAAAACCATGTAATATTGTCAACAAAATGTATTATAGAAAGGTATACAGATATTCGCCTTCACCATTTGTTGAAAACCTCAGCACAAAAAGTATCAAAAAGACAACTTTTAAATAAATATTTGCATTTTACAGGACAATAAATAAATAAATATTTCAATAAATATTTTGTTTTTGAAATGATGAAAATGTCTTAATTTTTTTTCTATTTTACTGTATATGTTTTACTCTTTGTAATTAATTATTTTTTCTACTTTACGTTTTTTTATAGCATTAAGTTTATTTCATTAAATTTACGTTTCATATTATATCTATATTGTCTATCTATACTGTTTTATTTTATTACATATTTATTACCTACATTACTCCGTGTCGATATTTTATCGATAGTTTTTTGTCAAGCACTAGCGTATATGAGTTGAGTGTGTTAACTACCTGCAAGGAATGGGGAGACTAGCGGCGGCAGTGGTACCGCAAGTAAATTGAAACAAAGGCATTTCTATTCCGCTATATTAGGTGTTCTGTGGATTCAACCCTAGCATACTCCTTAAACACCCCATTTCTACAGCATTTATTTTACTTTCGTGCTTCTTCTACCACACTCAACTTTCACTACCATACATTAAAGTAGGAATTAATACAGTATTATGAATAACCATCGTGTCTTTTTGGACGCAATCTGACTCTTCATAATAGAGGTTTAGATTCCCATTCACTCTGTTTCCTGCATTCAGTCGTCGTTTTATATCCTTATCGTACCTACCGTGCCTGCTAAATACACGAATTCATCCACTTGTTCAATCAACTCCCCTTCTATTCTTTCGTCAAAAACCATAACTTTCGTTTTACTTGCGTTCTCTTTCATTCTCCTTTCTTTTAATGACCAGTTCCATCATTTGCAACTCGGCCACCGATGACCCAAATATGACTTGATCATCGGCGTACAAAGGCATTTGATGGTTAACTATTCTTAATCCACATTCTTCACCTTTCAAAGTTTCCAAACTAACTGTCCATAAATAGGTTGAACAGCCACGGGGAAGCTACACAGTCCTGTCTGACACCTTTTTGGATGCCAAACCAGTCTAAGTAGACCCAGTTGATCCAGACACAAGCACTGGAGTCCCTATAAATAAAGAGACCTTAATGGTACAGCCATTAAGGTCTCTTTATTTTTTATTTATATTATTTATTTATTATTTCTATTTATATTATTTATTTATTATTTATATTTATATTATTTATTTATTCTTTATATTAATTATATTAAACACTATCCAAATGAATTCAGTGTTTGCCATAACAGTCCTGACCACTCTGTCATAAGCCTTTTCCAAGTCCATGAATGCACAAAATTTTTTTATAGTTTTTGGTCAAAAAAATTCCGCGATCATTCACATGGAAAATACTAAATTCCGCTTGTACATCCTAAATTTTTCCATCAGTTTCAATACTACCAGCACCACAGAATACCAGCGTAAAATATCAACTTAATGCTAATGTGTAGTCCCCACGACTATATAATATATATTTGTGTTAAGCATAGAATAAAAGTGGTATAATTAAAGACAAAGCGAAAGTAACACGTCGCATTTTCATCCAACATTACATGGCGATCCTGCCAGGTGGTGCGCTGCGACAATGCAAGCGCACCGCCGCGGCCTGCAAATTAATTTAAATTAAAATTCATATGAAAAATAAATTAATCATTACTTTTAATTTTTAATTAAACGGCAATAACACAACACAGGACGCAACAGTTGTGTTTTCGTATGGTGAGTGTAAAGAACTGGAGACCTTTTTCACTGGAAACAGAAAATTAATTCTGCTTGCCTTCCATCTTGGAACGAATTTCCCAGGGATGACAACGCATCTGCCTTTCGATTCGTAATCGCAGATACTCGTAGATAAAGATGTCTATGGACTACAGGTTACTAACAGATGCATTGTTATAAAAAAAATATTAATTATTTTGCAACCTTCCGCTAACTAAATAAAATGATGTGTCTTACCTGGATTGAAGAGCACCTCCCGCCCTCCCTCAATTGCATGCACTAACTCCGTCATCACTAGTCCCAGCACCACTACTCCCAACAACACTACTCCCGACACCACTACTTCCAACACCACTATTCCAGGTAAGGCACACCACCGACGATAATACAACACGTGTTTCGACTCTACACGAGATTCTATCAATTAGATGCATTGTTTGTCTCTCGTGTTCTATAAAAGAAAATGTGATCTCATCACCTCACCATCAATCACTTTGTCTTTAACATTATGATTTGTTAACATCAGGGCCATCGAGCTCAGTGAGCAGCGAGGAGGCGGAGTCGCGCGCGGCGCTGCTGCGCGGTCTGATGCTGGCGTCGTTGGGCCGAGCGCCGCCCGCCCCGCCGCCGCAGCCCGCACCCCCGCAACCCGTGCAGCCCGCGCTGCCCGTGCAGCCCGCCCAGCCCGCGCCCCCCACACAACCCGCCCAGCCCACACAGCCCGCGCACCCCGCGCAACCGCTGCCGCGCACCAAGCCCCAGCCAAGGACTAAGGTACCTAGTGCCACAGATTAATAAATATTTTACCAACAGATACATCACTCCCATACAAAAGCGAAAATACCTACGCTATAATAGCCTACAAAATCTTTATAATAATATCTGCTGCTCACAGCGAGAAGAAAATGTACCATAAGTACGCGCATGAAGAGTCGAGATTGTGTTGCCCGCCGTGCGACTCACGTGCAAGCGTTGTTGCAGGTGCAGGGTTGTACCTATGATGATTATTGTAATAAAATAAATGTTGCGAAATCAAATATGTTAAAGTTTTATAAAATCATTTATACATTTTTTTCCGTCTCTGAATTCTCGGTTATTAAACATTATCGTTGAAGTTTCCTAAATCGCGTAAATAGTTTTAATAAATAATCATGAGGAAAATCAATGTTTTGTAAAATTTGCAACACGGTGCTACCAGGCCGATTCATTATGACGTCAAAATTATTTAAGAATGCTCTTTTTAATTCTTCAATATAATTATTAAACGGTTACGGTGGGACTTTTAGCCCACCATAAAAAGATGAATCTTTATTTTAAGCTTTGAAATGAGTATACAGTGTTGTTTCGTCAACATTAGGTTCTCCTGTAACAAAGCATTGAAGCTAGTGGAGTTATGTTTTTTTTTTGCTACACTTATACAATAAATACTCTGATACGTAGGCCAACGCAAAAAAACACAATTTTTCATGTGTTTTTTTGACTTTTACACCCATCCACTGCACAATAATAACATGGTTTGGCATTTCGACGAGTAAGCGCGGGAAACGTGCGCGGTGCAAACGCTCATGCGGGCGTGCGGCGGCCCTATGTCGGTTGTATTGTGGGCGATACGCAGAACGGTAGGCATAAAACGCGTGGCCTAGTGCGAGTGACGGAGGCCTGCTAGCGGTCTATAGCCACACATCCTATAAGCCTAATGGCCAAATACTCGATCGCTACTCAATTTTAAAACGTCGTTAAGTCACTTTGACATAGTGATAGAGACAACGCGAGACGATGGCATGTTAAAATTGGCCCTAGCAACAGCGTCTACGTGGAGTATTGGCGGGAACTTGACCCCAGGCGGATTGCTGCTCCCGTATTTATTTAAATAATGGCTTGGATAATGGTTGTAGATTGTTCTAAAATTTTCTAGAATGATCTGAGAGTACTCATATATTTCAATGTTTAAAATTACTTGAGATTATTTTCAATTAATCTAAAAATAAATTCGAGAATGGTAGGTTCCAGAATGTGCACATAATAAATAATAGTACAAGAACAGAAGGTTCACTCTCTGATAGCAAACTTGCGAGTTTAAACCTAGTTACAACGTCGCTAATGTTCACAATACTTTTCAAAATAAATCTGAAAATCTTCAAAATAAGGCCGCTTCTACTATAGGGTTAGGATTAGGTTTTATGGGAAAATAAATTGAATCCTTTGATAATAGTTGGTAGTAAAATACACCGAGGTAGTACACTACATACATTGCATAACAGCAATGTATGTAGTGTACTAGAAATTTGCTAATAATAATAATGTAAGTGTTTAATGTGAGAAAGGTTAATATGCAACATCTAGAAAAATTTTAAAAAGATTTATAACAATATGAATCTCATTGAAACTCAGATAATTTACCTACTTACAATTTTCTGTTTCACATTTTTTTGCTATTTACAAATATCTGACACGCGACGGCATTATTAATGAAAGAGTGGCAATGGGAAGTGTTACTATTTTCAATCTTTTTAATAATTGACCTAGTGTTTAACCATTACCCAGTATATGCTGATCTCGTGTTAGTAGGCTAGTACTGGGAGGTCTACTTACACTGAACGATTAAAAATCGAAAACTGCGAATGGGTCGGCTTGACCGGGGACCACGCTGTCCCAGAATACTAGCTTAAAATATATACATTCTCCTAAATCAGAGCAAGTTGTAAACAGATGAATACATTCATCTGCGAGATGCGATAGCTAGTGATGGAAACATTGAAGATTTCGGACGATTGGTAATTTTGCCTTCTTCATTTACTGCTAGCCCCAGACATATGCAGGAATATGGTCTTCCTGGTCTTCTCTTTGTTTATTGCGTTTTCATGTGTTTTTACATGGAAAGTAATTCAAGATGAGTTAATGTTCAATATAGACAAAAGCTACATGATTTAATTGCACGAGTGTTTAGACAAAAACAAGTGAAATGTATTAATGTAATTGTGATGAGTTGTGTTTTTGGAAACGTTATTAGTTGAATGTACTCAATAGAATGGCAAAGAGGTTTGCTACACTCACATAATTTGATTTGGCTCACAGAAAAATTCATTCAAATCGAATTGATAACGTTATTAAGGCAGAGATGCCAAACCCAGTTGAAGATTCTATTTTGTATGAAATAATTGATAAAAATATGATACATGGTCCCTGTGGAACATTAAATATGCAATCCCCCTGTATGAATAATAACAAATGCTCGTAGAGAAACATCCAAGATCATTTTTCAGTGGAACCTAAACAATAGTTATCCTAAATACAGACGTCGACCGCCGAGTGAAGGAGGATTTACAGCAAAACTTAAAATTAGAAGTTAAGAATTCGAAATTGATAATCAATGGGTTGTACAATATTATAATCTGTTGTTATCGTAAATGTTTCAAGCACACATAAACATACAATATTGAACTTCTGTAAAGTCAATTAAATATGTTTGTAAGTATATTAACAAAGGGAGTGATATGGCTATCTTTGGAATCACTGATGAAACTCGACATGACGAAACTTTAAGATATCAAATGGGATGATACATCAATAGTAATGAAAGAGTTTGGCGTACCTTAGCTTTTCCTATTCATGACAGATACCCAGCAGTATTCATTTAGCAGTTCATCTCGAGAATGGACAACGAGTATATTTTACCAGTCAAACGGCAGAAAAAGTTGCAAGGCAACCTTTGCATACAACCTTGACAGCGTGAATTGTGTAGGAATGATCCGTTTGCAAAAACATTTTTCTATGTGGATGTTCCCAGTTGTAACACATGGGATGCATCGCGAAGGGTATTTTGTCGACGAAAAAGAGGGATCCCGGTAGAAAGATTTACGAATTTATTCAGAGATAATACCCTTGGTCGAATATATACGGTTAATCCAAAAAACGCAGAATGTTTTACTTAAGTATACTAACTACTTAATGAAGTTCGTGGACTAACATCGTTTGAAGATCTGCGTATAGTAGACGGTTACATTTGCGAAAAAAGTGGTTTATTAGAGAAAGATAATTATTGGAAGCAAACAATGAAAGAAGCTGCACAAACACAACAACGTGTAATCCTTCAAACCCAAATAACCTATGGCTGAAATTTCCCGATAGTGATGAGTGACGACATTTTGGCCAGAATGCGTAGACAATGTTGATATGGATATTACTTTTAATGAAAATATTTATATGATGCCCTGATAATTTTGGAAGATCTATGCTTAACAAACTTGGAGTACAATCTCCCATAAGAAACCATTTAAATGTGACCAATTTTGAATTATCAAAAGAATCTAATTACACTCTGAAAGAATTACAGTGTAATATCAAATAAAATCAACCAAAATTATATAA